TCTTTCCCTTTTGTGTCTCCATTTTCTATCCACTCCACTGTGACGCTTTCGTTGTCCTCATTCAGTGAGGTCACCATCGCTTGGTGGATACGCCCTGTGGAGAAATCAAACAACAGAAACACAAACATCAGATCTCTTTTAGGCACTGGTAAGCTTTAAATAATAACTGTAGAGACTGACACAAGTCACCAGGTTTCTCTGACACACACACACACACACACACACACACACACACAGGTTCACATAAAAACAGATTTTGCTAATAAATTACCTCGTGCAGTATTAGAAGGGTGAATTACAAAAGGCCTAATTAGCATCTGTGCGCCTGAGCAGCTCTGTATATAGCTCTGTTGAAGCCAAACTGTGTTTAGCTCTAGATGCAGCAAGTGAAAATCCTCAAATGGGTTCAGTGTTTTTTGATGATATACTGAATGACACAACACCCTCATGTTGTGCTATTGTTTTGTTTTTTAGCTATCCTGTGCCGTTTATTCAAACTTGTACGTAAATGATGTAATTGACACAAACGAGGTTAAGATTCAATATTAAGTTATCAAAGATTCTGTGCAAACAGACTAAAGGTTCTGTTCAATATGCATGAAGAATTTAGTCACAGGTTAAGCAAATAGTGAATCAGGCCTGCTTTGAATGCAGTTTAGCATAAATGAGTTTGTGATGACGATTCCAGACACATTATCCAGCCTAAACCCCCCCCCTAAAAAAAAGATGACATCACAGTACACTGCAGTGATGGATGACACCCTAAAAACCAAATCCTGTCTGTGCTCATGTTAACAGTAACCAGTAGAGTGTTTTATTTAATTACCTTATTTTTATTTTACCCAAAATGTCGGGACACAACTGGGTCCTTCAGGTTTCAAATGAAAGCAAGACAATATACTGAGGCAAATCTATGGAGCTTTGATAATTACCTGTTACAGAGAATCACTGATAGAAGAGACAAGCACAGCTGCTGCTTGCCTGCATGCTTTCCTCTGCCTCTCTCTCTCTTTGCACCGTAATAATACCAGCTGTAAAGCGCCTGCTCAGACCTCCCATCTTTGTCTATGTGGATGTGGCTGTATGCTGTGAATTCCCAGCACAATTCAGGGAAACACCATATTCCCGTATCCATTATTCAGAGATGCACCGGGAGCTAGGAAGCAAAGATGCTTTTAGTGTTCTCAGCTGCTGAACATTTGACTAATATACCTTATAATGAACTAGAATTACCACTTCGTGGTTGTATGCCTCTGTCAACCAGTCAAATTCATGGGTGTGGGACAGAAGTGAGATCACTGACCTTGACCTTTGACCACCAACATCTAATCAGTTCATCTTTGAGTTCAAGTGGACACTTGTGCCATATTTGAAGAAATTCGCTGAAGGTGTTCCTGAAATATCCTGTTCACAAGAATAAGCCGGCCGGACAAACAAACCGATGACGTAACGCCTCCAGCCACGGCTATCACCACTGTGGAGGCATTCATTTTGAACCAGGGAGAACTGGGAGAAAAAACCTTTAGTGCACTCTGAAGATCAGGTAGACATATCCAATACAGTAAATAAGAGAATAAACTCTCTATACAATGATACGTCAACATTTAGTTAACTAAAGTGTAGGTGGATTGACCATCAGGGTATTATCCCTGGCATAGAAAGGCTTAGATGCAGTGTTGTTGCAGAGCACCTTAAGCCAAACGAACATAAAAGGCCTTTAGGTAACAAATCAGAATGAATATACAGTCAGGGAAAAATTATTTGAACCCCAGCTGATTCTGTAAGTTTGCCCACTAACAAAGAAATGATCAGTCTACAATTTCAATGGTAGGTTTATGTGAACAGTGAAAGACACAACAATAACAAAAAAATTCAGAAAAATGCATTACAAAAAAAGTTATAAAGTAATTTGCATTTTCATGAATGAAATAAGTATTTGATCCCTTTGCAAAACGTGCTTTAGTACTTGATGGCAAAACCTTTGTTGGCAATCACAGAGGTCAGACGTTTCTTGTAGTTGGCCACAAGGTTTGCACACATCTCAGGGGGGATTTTGACCCACTCCTCTTTGCAGATCCTCTCCAAGTCATTAATGTTTCGTGGCTGATGTTTGGCAACTCAAACCTTCAGCTCCCTCTACAGATTTTCTATGGGATTAAGGTCTGGAGACTGACTAGGCCACTCCATGACCTTAAT